AGAGGCGCGTTTTTGGTGGCGGCAGCAGGCGAGCCGCGAAGAACCTCAGGAAAAACCAAGCCAAGTACGAACAGGCGTCGGGGCAGTCTGTGTACGCCGCCTGCGCAGCGTCAAACACACGGCGTGCGGTCGAAAGGGGCGGTGTTGCCGCCGCACAGAAAGCGCTGACAGAAAAGGAGCATGAGTTGGTCGAAAGTAAACAGCGCGAGGCGGCAAGCACCGCTGAGTGCAGCATGGCTCAGGAGCTCGCGCGCGAGAGCACCGAGGCGCTAAAGGAGGAGAAGGCTAAGAGAGCAGAGGCAGAGCGGTCGCAGCAAGAGGCAGAGCGGAGGAAGCAAGAGGCTGAACGAGACAAGGCGAAGGCGGAGGCGGTGGGCGTAGATGATGGGTGCTTCCTCGCTGCTGCTGTTTTTTTCGCCAGCAGCAGGAGGAGCACTGCTTCCTCCAGCAGGAGGAGTCCGCGCGGTCCCACCGCCCGGCGGCTGTTCGAGTGAGCCACCAGGCATGTTTGCTAGGTTGCGGACGGCGCTAGGGTGCCGCTAGGGTGCCGTGTGCAACCTCCACGGCACGGCGGAACGCGTTCACACACGCTTCGCGCTCGCGGGGCGTCAGGTGTTTTTTGGTTCTGGCGGGGTTCTTCGGAACGTTCGATGTGATTTTTTTGGCTCGAGCGATTTTCCATCTGGAAGATCCAGGACACTTTTCGAAATTTTTTCCTATAGGAAATTTGACCGATTGGCACCCCTAACTGTTCCATTATGTTGTTCAATCGCAAAAAGCAAAACAAATTCGTCTCTACGTACGCGCGATCCTTGAGTATTTTCCGAAGATCGTTGTCACGAGATGACCGTTCGTGGCTCTACAAAAACGAGTGGGAGGTCGTTGAGAGAGGACCGCCGTTTCAAGGTCTCGGGGCAAACAAGACGCTCAGAACAAAGCGTGGCGGCATGATCGTTGATGGTGCTACATAGACGGCAGGGCCCACGACAGACGCTGTTGAGACGGGCCAGCCTTTTCAAGGTCTCGGGGGGGCAAACAAGTCGCCAAAGATGACTGTCTTCCGCCACTCGCTTCTGTAAACGCTCATCTCATCTCTTCCTTCTGCTTACACACGAACTAGCGCTATCCACTAGGCGGGAGCGGAAAACTCACTTTGCAAGAAACGCTCGCTTACGCCGGGCTTCGAACCCGTGACCTGACCTCTAGAAGGTGTCGAGGATACCAACTGGACCACCGGGACGAGCGGCTTTATCATATTAGTACGAAACGCTGTGTGGAGTGGTCTTTTTACTTTTTTCCCCTGTCGCCGGATATCCGGGGTCCAAGAGGTTTCGGGGTCATGTGCTGCTCCTGGGACCCCAAATAACCGGCCACGATGGAAGAAAATAATGAAGCCCCTACCGCACAGCGTTTCGAACTGACCCAGTGTACATGTGTGCAAGGGTTCAAAGTCTAACTCCTAAAAACGGCGTGAAGTTTTCAGCTCTTGTGTCATGAAGTATTCGCCATCCTGATTTTCGTCCAAATTACTCGATCACAGTAAATAATCGGGTCAGCAGGGCCCCATTTCCACTGCAAAGCTCCGTATTGTACTGCGCCAGTTTTACGAGTGGTTCTACACAACTTTCTGGAAGGATCATTGAACTGTCGCGCAGCGAAACAAAAAAGAAACAAGTGGTGTTCATATGCATATATTTGGAACCGGTTTCCGGGGGCTCCACACCGGGGACCCCAATACGCCGGTCAGCAGTGCAAATATTGTCCTCTTTTCGATTTCGGTTTGCGCAACTATTGTTGCACCATGATGTCGAAATCTGAGGACTTATCAACATTTGCTTCGGTATATACAAGGCAAACCAGCACGAGCCTCTGCGTATTTTATCCAAGTATACAATCCGTCCGTGGCAACTCGACGACGCCAAAACTCGGCCGCCGAACCACAATTTTGGGCACAACTCGCTCCCACGATGACCGTTTTTTTTTTTCTTCCCCTAGGTCCTATAGAAAATGGGAATTCCTTTCTTTGCCAAACTGCGTTAAAAAAGAGGTGGGAAGTGTGGGGTTGGATGCACTGCTAGTTTTATATCATGTTTTAAGGCATTCGATTGGCCGAGACACACTGATGCCCATTGCGTTACAGCCATGGCTCTGGTTCAAATTCCGGCCACGGTGATGTCTTGCCTTGCTCACTGGGGTCACTTTGATACAAGATACGTCAATTTGTTTACATATTTCTTCTGGCAGCGGTGGTTGAATAATTTGGGTTTATCATCCGTGAACCAGCTTGTACCACAAGGCAACACGAATTGACGTCCAAATGCCATATCAACGAGAAAAAAACAACATAAACAACTGCAAATGGCGTGACGAAAACAACAAAAAACGGGCAGGAATTACAATGTACAGCAGTAGCTTACATGGTCGGCCGTCGGCTCGGCACCGGCTCCGTCAGCCACTGCATGCTCGACTTGCGCGCCAGCCCCCCCGGTCTTGACAAGGGCATCTCTCCCTTCACCGAGAGGGACGACTCCAGCGACGAGTTGGCCGTCGAAGCGGACACCCGGTTCACCCCCCCCCCCCCCCCCCCCCCCCCCCCCCCCCCCCCCCCCCCCCCCCCCNCCCCCCGGATGCTGCCCGTAGGCGGGCGGCCCCTCCTGCAGCAGCTGCGAAACCCCCCACGTACTCGACGTCCCGGCCCCTGCAGCATTCTGCTGCTGCTGCGGCTGCGGCTGCGTCGAGGACACCACCCACTGCACCTGGTCCTTGTTGTTCGCCTTGGCGCCGGTGCTGCCGCCGCTGCCCTGTCTGCTGCCCCGCTCCGACCCCCATGTCTGGTAGCCGCTGTCCCCCCGGCTGACCGGAGCGCCGGACGCCGCCCCCCCCGTCGAAGGCGGCGGCCTGGCTGGCGCCGACTTGAAAATCCTCGCCGCGGTCGACTCTCGGGAGTTTTCTCTAGTCATCGGCCCCGGGCAGGCCGCGCCGCTGCCGCCGCCGCCGAGGAACACTTCCCTCGTCACCTCATCCGCCGACACCACCGTGTCCGCCCCCCCCCCCCCCCCCCCCCCCCCCCCCCCCCCCCCCCCC